GCGTGAAGCGGTGACAGGATCTGACGGTCGCCAGACGAGGTCGTTTTGGTTGACCGTATACGTGGCGCGATTGGATAGGGAGTCGGAGAGTCTGAACGCGCTGTAGGTCCACCGGGAGTTCGAGAAGAAATTATCTGCTGCGGGGATGCATTAAAGGCTTAATAAAAATTACCATTATAGGAAACGATTGGTAAGAACACCGGACTCGTCAAATTAGTTTTCGGGTTGATTGTTTATGGATTCAATTAGTTTTTATTTAGTTTGTTTTTTAATTATAGTTAATATTTGAAGATAAAAAAATAATACGATTAGTTGTTAGTGGATATATTAAATAATATTTAAATAACATAATTTAAAGTTGATTTGATGTAAAGTAAGAGTAAAATGGTTGGAAGTGATGGCTAATTAAAATTATGTGAGTTGATGAATAGTGAATTAAAGTTGATGTGATGTGTAGAATGATTAATTGATATTATTTAGTTGTATTAATAATATTGGAGATAATGAAGTTTAGTTAAAATTAAGTTAAATTTAAGTTTTGATTGATTTTTTTTACTGTTGCAACTATATTCAATCGCACCCTTAATGATTCATTGGTTCAATTAGTGGTTCGACATATTTGATTAATTAAAATTTTTAAAGAGGTATAATATTTTATATAATAAATTTATATATAAAACTTTGTTAATTAAATATCAAGTAAAGCAGAACCACTCGATAGCCATACCTGAGAAATTGGGGGTCAAAGCTAGAGTACCACCCTGCAAAGGTGAGTAATATAATATGACTATAAAGAGTTACAACAGGCAATAACAGCTTCGAACTCATGCCATGCAACAGGGAGCTACTGCCACTCTCATGGTGCATTGTGATTACATTCTACAATAATCACAGTTATACCTAAAACAACGAGCATTCCACCTTTTTATTCAATAAGAGCATTTGGCGAAGAAGGGGTGTGCTTGGAGGAATCCCTAGTGACTCCCTAAACGATGTATTAAATATGAGCTAAGGGAAGCTCAATTTAAAATGTTCAATTATTTAAACTAACTGATAACAACTTATATATATTCATTGTATTTAAATATGTATTTTCTATTTATATTAAAATTATATGAAAAATTGGACCGATTCGTTGGCTGGACTTTTGACCGGTTCACTAGTAATCGGTTCATTCCAGTGACCTGGGCCGGTCAGTCCAGTCCGGTTTTCTAAACCCATGGTTAAAACTAATCGAATTAATTTTTATTAGATGAGTTTTTTTTTACTCATTTTAACTCAAAATCTAACTCAAGTCCACTATAATCAACTATACTTGAATTTCCATGAGGTGACGTTTGATAAGAGGCCGTAAAAAAATTGGGCTCCACTACGACGTCCTAAGTAGTGGGTGCTCTTTTGAAACTTATAACCGTAGTAGTAATTAGGAGAGAACTGACGAAGTCCCATTTTGGGGATCATTATTCAAGAGATCATAATAGGGATAGCATTGGTAGAAAACTGGTTAAAAGGGATATCATATTTGTTACTGAGAGTTATTAGCTCGTACTTAAGAGGAAAACGGAGACCAAAGAGCATTTGGTCGACAAAGAAGGTATAACAACCCCGACGAGGATTGGAGAATGTATCAGTACGACAATGGACAAACAACTCCCAATATAACGGTTGCTCGCAAAAGGTTCGAAAACCATCGACCTCCGCTGCAGGGGCATATATAACAAAACGGAATTCAGTATCACTATTTTGACCAAAGTACGCGCTAATGTTACAACAGGACCACTTGGATCGAGTATAAGAACAATTATTGGTATACGAAAAGAGATAACTATATGTACATGAATATCTAACACTTGAATAAGAATACCTCGAGGAAAAAACTCAAGACTAGGAGACCTAGGATTACCCTCTCGAGAACTCGATGATCTCAAAGCTCTCTCATGTTCTTCCCAGTCGACCTCCCCATCAGGTTCATCGACCAGCCCTCTAGAAGGGCCAGATTGGTCAACTTGAACCAGTTCATGACCTATTATTTTTACATACGAGTCAGAGTCCCCGTCGACCAGACGACTAACGGAGATATGAGAAGGCGACATGTCTTAAATACATTTCAAAACAATAGGTTGCAATTAGCATATCAATAAAAATAGAAAGGAACAAAGGAATTTCGACAACGGGTTGAGTCGCGAGATGCGAGAAGAGAATGGCCTAATGATATATTGAAAAGGCGCCCTAAAAAGACCAACAACCTACGTACAAACGACATAGGAGAAGTAAACCAAGAAAAAAAAGGAACATTCTCAAAGTAAAAAAAATAGATCAAAGTATATTCAAATCGAAAAAAATGTATATATAAGAAAACATGAGAACACGAAGAACATTTAAAAGCAATTTACATCAAAACCCAAGAACAAACAGAAAAAAATGGAAGGGTAAAGAGAAAGTGAACTTACTAATCGTGATGAACAAGGGTTGATAGGAACTAAAGCTCGGTTACCAGAGATGGGCGATGCTAGAATCGCAGGAGTCAGAGAGCAAAAACTTTAGAATTCAGGTGGGTAAGTGAGACAAAATGTTAGAGTGAAACGGGTGAGGTATTTATAACCGAACTGTCAAGTTTAAACCCTTGGATCATACTAAAATAGACGGCTCAGATCGTGCACGGACATCGAGAACACGGATTACGAAACGACAAAAGAGTTCTTCAAATTCACATGTATGTCAAATGTCACGCTTGTCAGAAGAACCAAATTGCCATATTTACTTCAAAGCTCGAGGTCGCATGGAGTAAATTTAAGGTATGGGAATTATATGATATAACCATAGATGAGCCAACTCGAAATACTCGAAGTATGAGGAGGTCGACTGGAGGGTTGAAAGGCCTATTACTAAAAAACGACCTAGAGGTCTCATGGAATTCTCTAACATGTGAGGGACTTTGAGATCAGCCGAACAACCTAAAGACCCTTGGACGACCTAAAGATCCTTATACAACTTGGAGTGTCTCGGACGACCTAGACAACTAAAAGGCCTAAGACAGCTCGACCTCGATGGTCGAGATGCGAACCAGACGACCTAAAGAATCATCACGACCTAATGAACATCCTTAACTGAGTTATAAAGGATAAGAAGGAATCTAATAAAGATAAGAAATAATTTAATTGAGACTAGGACATGATTAATTAGGATGGGGATAAACACTAAGCAAATAAAAATAAACCCGAACAAATAGACAGACTGACCGCGGGCAGTTGAGCAGACTATTTCGGGCAAGTATTTCCATATTGAAGGGATTGATGTACATCCAAATCCAACTCTACCATCTACATACATTATACACAATCCTTTCATCATAGAGCACCTATCATCTGCTTCCCTTGTGTTAACTTGAGCATCGGAGTGCTAGCGTCGTAGTCCCTCCTGACTCTTTTGAAGGCAATTTCGTAGCAGTTCAGGAAGATCCGAGCACAAATATAGCCGGTTGAACCTTGATTTGTGGCTTTGGTACATCAACTATAATTCGTATCAAGTCAAAACAACGGATATGTAATGTAATTATTTCATTTGTTCTTGATTAGAGCAAGTTAATAAAAAACTATATTAAACTAAAAAAAAATTATATTTACTAATTATAACTCGGCTCGTGTCGAATCTTCTTTCTTAAGGGTGTGCATCGGTCGGTTCGGTTGACCGGCCGAACCAAATTAGAAAAACCGAAATAACCGAACCATATTATGCCAAAAACTGAAACCGGCCGAATTATCAATTTAATCGAACATAACCGACCGAACTTCTTGGTTGGTTTGTCAACAAACCGAACTATACATTTTAAAATATATTTAATATAATTAATATATATATTGTTATAATATAATATAATATATAAATAGATATATAATATATATAATATTCGGTCGGTTTGGTTATTTCAAACATTTGATATCCGAAAATCGAAACCGATCAGAGTAACCGAAAACTCATTCGACTAAAATCGAAAACAGACCGAGTTAGATAAAAACCGAAGCGAAATTTTCGGTTCGATCGGTTTCGTATTTTAGTCAAATTATGCACACGCCTATTCTTTTTCCGGGCAAGCTGTGAGAAAGGGAGGGACAACACCAATAATCCGTCTTCCAATTTTGGTTTTAAACAATAAATAATTATTCGTTGGCCGATATTTACTTTCAGAGCTAAATTCAGTCGCCGGAAATTCAGAGGCTCGCTAACTCCGGCAGATTTTGCGGGGCTAAAGTTGATTCTTAACTGAATCCCGGGCTTCTGGTAAGAGATCCGATTCACTGTCTTCGTCTTTTTTTCTTTTTGCGCAATTTGAACTCCGACCGACATTTTATTCCCGTTCGCCGGAAAACCGCAATATTTTCTCTTTTCAGTTCACAAATCACGCATTTGACGCCCCTTTTACATCTTCCCCTCACGAGCATCTAATTAATGCGGTTACAGAACAAAAACAATTAAATTAGAATCCATCCGATTTATTACTGGTTGTTACCTGCCGCCATATACGGTTACTGGTGCAGTTGTAAGAATTAAGGATCAAAGTGTAAGGTATAAGGTTTTGTTTGTATGGACGCGTGGCCACAGGGTTTTGTATGATTGTATCTGTGTAAAATGCTCTGGTTTAAGAAGTCTGTTAGAAATATTTGGATGTTCCTTTTGTTTGTTTGTCTCGTTTTTCCTAAGACGGAATATTATGCGTAGCTTTGTATCTACAGATCGATTCTGAGTCGGTGTTTCGGATCTGCTGTGCTCCTAAATCTTCTCGAAAAATCCGTCGGGTGTCGATTTAAGGACTGACATTTTCACTTAGGTTTTGGTATTGTAAGAGATTTTGTAAATAAGTGCCAAAACAAAAGAAAAAAAAAAGATGCTGCAAATGAGGACTAGGAATGGCTTTGTACCGCCGGGCGGGCTTGAGAAGGAGTGGGAGCTTCGGCCCGGTGGAATGTTGGTCCAGACCCGAACCGACCTAAACGAAAACCTTGTGCCAGTACCGACTATTCGGGTCCGGGTCAAATACGGGTCGGTCTATCACGAAATGCGAATCAGCTCACAAGCCACATTTGGTAGTAAATTCAGCTATTTTTTTTTTTCTTTTTTTGTTCTAAGTTCAAATTGCATTTGGGTTTGTGTTAATGTTGGAACATGAAATTCTTGAATAGGTGAGTTGAAGAAGATGTTATCTGGCCCGACGGGCCTGCACCATCAGGATCAGAAGCTATTCTACAAGAATAAAGAGAGGGATTCAAAAGCATTTCTCGATATCGCGGGTGTCAAGGACAAATCTAAAATCATGCTGCAGGAGGACTCGATTAGTCGAGAAAAACGGTATTTGGAAATGAGGAAAAACGCAAAAATTGACACGGCTGCGCAATCCGTATCGGAAATCAGCTTGGAGGTTGATAGACTCGCTGGACAGGTAGTTTTTTTTTTTT